AGTAGTTGACAACACTGACACAACTGGCTTCTGCCTCTTTACAAAACTTCAACTCCAAATCTTATTTACACATGGTCAAACAAAGAGAGAAATCATGCTGTGGGTACTGGATAGGACCAAACTTAAAATTCTTCTGTGTATCTAACTATCGCAGCAGGATTGTAATTTCCGTTTCTCGATGTGGATAATTTAGATTTTTAAATCTTGGGCATGGTAGACCGGATCCAAACAAATGCAGACCGGATTCAAACAAATCATTCAGAGTTCAAAGCCGATCGGACCCAAAAAAGAATCCACAGGGGAGACATCTCCACTCACCATCCACCGGAGCGGGGAGGACATTATGCCGACTCTGGTACGTTGCCACCGCCACCACAGTCCCCCCCTCCCAACGTCAACGAGACCGACAGAGGAGAGGGGAGGCCGGCCGGTGATGCGATGGAAGGAGTGCCAGATCAGGACGCACTGAATCCACATCTCTAGAAACCTTTATAATTCTAAATTTCTAGTTACATACTCATCCAAACAGCCCTCAAGGGGAGTAGGTTATTATGTTTCCCTCGAGGGCTGTTTAGATGAAAGACTTTTCTTTTGGGTTTGTTGAGATTTAGTTTAAACAAAAAGTAAATCTCTAGTATTTTTTTATCATACTTAAATTCGAATAGAGATATATGTTCAAGTTCGTAATCCTTTTTCATGTCACCAGGAGTCTTAGGAATTGCAGTTTGCAAGGAGTTATTGGCATACCTGAACTTGGCTATTTGTAAGTCCAGATCAAGATGAATGCTGCACTTTCTCTTCATTCTTACTATTGTTGGCATCCTTCTATCAGAGATTATCCTTTGTTTGTTGTTCATAGCTTTGCTTAGAATATATTTCTAAGTAATTTTCTTTCAGTAAGAAAACCACCCCTCCTATTATATAGTTCGCCTTTTTCTTTCTTTCTTTTCTTTTATTGTTGTTGTACTTTCGTGTCATCTTGGCGATGCGATCTTAGATGCGTGTCCGAAAAAAAAGATATCCATGAGATTATTCTGCATCTCTTTGCTAATTCTGGCATGCACTTTCAGGGATCTTAGCTGGAACCAACTGACAGGATCTATAGCAGCCGATAGACTCGCTTCAAATATCACCACAATGTATGTGGCTCTTTGTAACCAAACTAACTTCTAGTTTCTGTCAGTGAGTTATCGCATAATTTTCTGAATGGAACTATTCCGGCAAACTTCTCCGGCTGCCTAATCTTCTATTCTGGTAAGTAACGTTTAACTTAAAGCACTGCTCGAATCCTTAACTCTGCTTTTCTGTAGTGCTAGGTAACTTTTCATGCCATTGAAGATGAATGCTTTCCCTATTGAACTATAGATTAGTACCATGTTCTTTCTCAAAACAAATAGCGAGTGAAAAAAACAAGTTTGCGAAAACTGATACTAGTGTGTCCGTGTTCTCCAGATTTGTGGAGGTTTTTCCTTACCTTGTGGTAAAAACCTTTTGTCATTTTCTTGTAAATTAACTTGCTTTTCTTCTTAACGAAGGTAAGCAAAATTTTGCACATCCTCTAGTTTGTTATACTAGTTTGCTACTTATTTTGTGAGAGATATATGAAGATGCCATTTTACAAGTCATTTGAAGCAAATAGTCTTGACGGTGCTGTTCCATCAGCAATATGTTTGTCATATGCATGTGTAATGTTTTTTTATATAATGCAGGAACTTTGAAAGCAACTTCCTTGACACAATTCCAGCTGCATCTGAGCCTCCAAAAGCTGTCATTGTACTGTATGTTCTTTGCCTTGGAAAATTTCCTTGTCAGTTTGCACTTGTATATTGAGCCTCCACAAGCAACTGTATTTGGATGAGCCTCCAGAAGCAACTGTATAGTTTGCTGGGAATATGCAAATTTCATTGCTATTACGAGTGCATAGAGAATAACCAATAATACGGAAAAATATAATATTGATCACAGGAGCTTCATAAATCAAATCATTTCTCTTTCTGGTGTGACAAATAACCGTTGCAATCATTATTCTGCAGGCTTTCTGGAAACCCCGCATGCGACAATCCAGCTCGAAGCGGGACTTTGTCAACCCCAATCTGGAAATGAAGCACAAGTTACTATAGAGTGTGCTTCTTTCTCAACGGATAAAATTTACGAATACAATCCATTATCTCCTATATACCTTGCATTTGTGCTGCGCCTCTTGGAGTTTGATATAGGCTGAAAGAGTCAAGGGATCTCAGACTTCCGCTCCTACAACCTATGTATTGGACCTGAGTATTTACTAGCTATACATTGAACGGTACACATGGGAGGCTGATCCTAGACTGAATATGTATTTGAAGCTATTCCCGAATAACACTAATTTATTCACCATGTCGGAAGTTGTGCGGCTCAGGAAATTACTTGCTGGATGGAAGATTACTCTGTTAGACATTTTCGGCCCTTACGAGCTTCTCAATTTTACGCTTGGTTTCTATGCAGATGGTATGTAGTATTTACTTTGCACCAAAGGATGCCATTCATAATTCTACCATATTAAATAAATAGTTGAAATGTGTGGTCCTTACGTATATTTATTTTGCCAAGACAGGTGATAGCAGAGCTTCTGTGGCTGTTTTAATGCTAGTAGAATCATAAATCCATGAATTATTAATTTGATTCTCCTAGCATATGGAATATGCGGTATATAGTTCATACGAGTTTAGTGTTATTATGTTAAAAATTGATAAACTATTGTACACAACATAATGATTCTTAGTTATTTCTTTGTCTTCTTCCAGCCTGTATGCCATGATTTTTTATTGTGTTTTTATAAGGTTTTTTTTGAGGAATTTTATAAGGTAATTTCTTAACAACATAATTTGAAAGTGCGACTACCCTTGTTCGTATCCCTAGAATTTCTCAAAGAGGGGGTCCTTCACAAGGGGCTCACGATGGTAAGGGGGATTGGGGAATTTACGATCCATACCCTAATATATGTCTCCTAGGGTTCATGGGAACCCAAACTCTCCTAAGAGATGGGAGGAACCAACCACAGAAATGGAAAATTGCCAAGATCTTTCCAAAGGGCATACTAACTTAAGGAGGAGCCAGTACATACTTTTTCTTACTTTAAAATTTACTACACGCATACTGGTACTTTAATACTCTATCCAGCTTTATGATCCACTTGTTCTTTTGCCGCTTATTTTATTTTATTTTTTCGCAGAATTTCCAAGAGAGGTGTCATCGGTTTTAAAAAAGGGCACACTAGCTGGGATTTTAGCAGGAACAATTATTGCTGCTATTGCAGTTTCTTTGCTTTCTACATTTGAGAAGACGTTCAAAACACGAACAGTTTCAAGGCCTTCATGTAAGTCAGTATATTCCTTTAACAAACAGTTTTTATGTGCTACACATAAAAACCTTGCTGTCTGACAAATTAGAAATGCCTTGCTGCTTTATCTGGTAACTAGTAGTAACATATAGGAACCCGTCAAAAAAGTAGTAACATATAGGAGCATCATTTTTTTTAAGTCGGAAGCTACTCGATCGGTCTTTCTGTAATACTGGAAACTGGATTTAAACTGTGAACATATTATATCAGCCTCATCCAAATACATTAGATTCGAGTTCTAAAGAGACATCATCTGATATGTTTCAACTCTACAGCAAAGTAAACTTTAAAGTTACAGTAGACATTAAATTCAATCTACAACAACTTAAGAAGTAGATAATTTTGCAGTACTGTTGAGGTTTTCTGTCAAGGTTGATGGTGTGACATCTTTCACGTTGGAAGAAATGGCTACAGCGACAAATAATTTCAATGATTAAGCTGAAATTGGTCAAGGAGGTTATGGGAAAAATCCATAAAGGAAATCTAGATGATGGAGCAACCATTGCAATCAAACGAGCACATGAAGATTCTCTGCAAGGCTCAAATGAATTTTGCAGTCCGGTTCCGGATGTGGAAGGAACATTGCCAGCTCATATCTCCACTGTTGTTGAGGGTACTCCGGTAAGTCTTATTACACCTAGTAATGTAGCAAGAACTGCACTCACCATGATCTAGTTACTGCTGTTCCATGCAACACAATATCGAACTTGTTTTCTTTTGGCAGGGCTATCTTGATCCAGAATACTTTCTAACAAATAAATTGACAGAAAAAAGTGATGTTTATAATCTTGGTGTTGTGCTTCTTGAAATATTAACTGGGATGAAGCCAATCCAGTTTGGTAGAAACATCGTTAGAGAGGTACAGAGATTCCCACCCTGATCCGTATTTGAATGTACATGATATTCACATTTGGGCTGTATGTAGACCACGGACAGGGTACATAATATTACATTTAGCTTTCGAATCTTTTCTGGCTGTTCGGTAAGAGTGTCAGCGATTCAGTAGAATTTTATCAGTTAACTGTTTTAACCTGATCCTTATTAATGTAGGTAAAGGCGGAGCAATGTGTGAACTCCGTGGATTTTTCTATGATTTCTGACCATATTCCCCGAAGAGCAATGTGTGTGCAATAATCACTGGTTCTTACAGGCTTACACTGTAACACTGAGTCTGACATAAACGAATACCCAGAACAGCTTACCTACTAAAACTGCAAACCGTGAGCGTGCATACAGACACCTTGAAGAAAATATATATAGGCTAAGGGCAAATGATACTATATCAGCTTCTCAAAACTATTTCCACGAGAAAATCAAACGAATTCCACTCGAGCTAAATTACTCTCAGGAGGAGGTCAACAAGACCGTGATAACCAACGCATGCTGCCTTTTTTTACAGGGGTATGTTGTCAAAGTGCGACAAACCAAACCACGTGTCACCCAGACATGTCGAAGCTTTCGCCCGTCTGGTACTGGAAGAACTGGTCGATTCCTGCACACACCAACCAATATCAGATCAAATTCAGTAGGTTTTTCAGTGGAGTTATACTGAGATATGGTGTTTGCTCAACATACTTGGATTCAACATGACATTCTCATAGAAGGACATCTAGACCAGACCACCCTACGACCTTGAGGTGTCGTTGCTGGACCCATACATCATTGGACCACGGACCTGCTCACGCTCTGCTGCGTCGAAGTGGCGGTGCATCTCTGAGATCCTCTCAGGGTTGTGAGCTCTCACAGCCATGTTCTGCTGCTGTGACCCATCTGATCTAGGCTTCTTGTCGGTCAGGGACTCCTCATCCCCCTCGGCTTCGGATTCAGCGTTATTTGGTAGAGAAGAAGCTGCTTGCTTCCGCTTCGAGCGTGCACGTCTGTTTTGGAACCAGTTGTAGACGTTGGTCTCCGAGATCTGGCCATGCTGCGAGAGCTCCGCTGTGATGTCTTTTATCTTCTGCTTGCTTGGTGTTCCATTTCCTTGGTTGAAAACGATCTCGAGGATCTGCAGCTGCATCTGGGTTGGTGTCCATCGCTGCCTCGCTGTGATCTTCTGGCCTCCATGAACCATTAGAGGATCACAGTACAGATTACCAAGACTCATACCTGAAAGAAATAAAGAGATCTTAGTTGACTACACAAAGAAAATAAACTAAATGCTAAAATACAATAGACCAAGAGAAAAAGTGAGAATGTGCAGAGGCTCAGCAAACTGTATTTCGGGAGCTTGTCTAAAACAACTCCTGCCATAGGTCCGTGTTTCAGGAGTGCCATAAAAGCACAATCTTTCAGCGGTACTTGTGAATTATCATAAAAATATATCCTAGGATGGTTCAAAAATTACTAATGTTTCAGTACCAAATGGGCAAGTGTGCAAATCGTATGTAAGTCGTAAAATTATTGGGATGACAGAATAAGAATTAGTGTTGGACCCAGTAGAAAGATAATTAGGTACGTAACATGCTATGAAATTCCTGCATGTCAGAATTGAGGAACCATTCGCGTGATGGTTGAATCTCTCACATCAGAGTATGGGAGGAGAGATGTTGTACTACTCCTCGCTCTTTTGTAGCTCAATGGATATGCAGGCAGAATTGAGGAAGAAAAAATGTGGGCCTTTTTGAGTGAGGGAGCTCGCTGGCGGAGTGCGGCTTGAGGTGAGGAGGTCCGAGATGTCATGGCGGGGCGAGGATGAGGTACGTAGGGCAACAGCAACTGCGGCGGGCGGCCGAGGACTGAGATGGTGGCGGCGGCGGCCAAGACGCACGTATGTAAGTACAATTCTGCGAGAGGACCCCATAGTCATAGACATCGGCGCACGCCGTTTCATATTCTCCTTCTCGTTTGAAATTTTGCACAGAAAAAGAACAGATTTTGTGAAAAATAAACCCTTTCCCTTCTCATTTGTTAAAATAAAAGCACAACTAACAAAGCCAACAGATAAAAAAGAGTCTACAACAACAAATTCTAGCTAGTTCTAGAATGAACAGACATGCATGTTAAGAAAAAGAAATTTGTCAACAGTTAGGAAATCTCGTTGTCACCAAGATAAAGGCGTCGGTCGGTCGGTTTTCAAGTCATATATGAACTTGTACTACTTATAATGAACCAACATATTGATTGACCTCATATGATAAGATTAAACTAGGCTCATGCCATGGTATACATCGATCTCAAATGAATTTGAGCAATACATATTGATCGACCATATGTTATCATTAACAGGGAGGGGAGGCGATGGTACAGTACCTGCAGCAGCTGGCATGAGATAGCTGGAGATGCTGGTGGCCATGTAGGAGCTGGGTCTTTGCATGTCGAATTCCTGCACGTCCAGCAGCGTCTTCTGGTTGAGGTCAAGAGCAATCACCTTCGACGTCCTGGTGTTGGTGTTTTCGCTGCTGGCATTGGTCAAGAGGTAGAGGACGCCATCACTGTGGGAGCTGAGGATGGGGTTGGAAACAAAGAGAGACTGGGGCAGGTTGTAGCCGTGGATATCTCCAGAATGGATCTCGTGCTCCTGCCGGAAAAACATGGCGTCCAGACCGCCATTGAGCCCCTCCAAGGTCCACGTGACCACCGTCCAGCCGCTAGGCGTTTGCGAGCGCGGGCTGGGTTCGGCGTGGACCTGAAGGTCGACGAACCTGATGATGCCCCGGAACGGCGGATGGTGATGACCTTGCTGGACACAAAGTCGTCAGGCGGCGGTGGCTGTGGAGAGGCAGTGGGCGTGCGTCTCCACCGAGGGTCCTTGGAGTCGTAGGTGCACAGGTAGTATCCGGAATGGCCGGGGTGGAAAGGGTCGTAGGCGAGCGCCGCGATCCTGTAGGCATCACAGGCATCATCCTTGGGGCTGTTGCTGTGGTAACGCAAGACACCGATACTGCCGGTAGGGAAGCAGCGAGTTCCAAAAGCTGGCAGCATGTCGGGTTGGGGCCGCGGGAGCCGGGTGAGCTCCGGCGACCCCGCCGGCGAGGCTGCTGCCTGGTAGAGGAAGTAGTCGTAGTTGCTGTTTTCGCCGTAGAAGGCACGGTTGTGGCCGTGGCAGAGGGTGAGGAGGGCAAGGTCGCCCGCCGTGGCGATCATCCAAGGCTCGCGGACGAACAGGCGGGGGGCGTCTTCTTGTTCCCGGTGCTCGTCGTCGGCGTCGTCGGTGCGGTTAGCGGAGCAGCAGAAGTAGGAGACGCGAGGCGGCGGCGCCATGAACAGGCTCACCTGCATCTCCACCTTCACCTCCCTGCCGCGCAGGTTCCTCCGGAATCGATGGCAGGCGGAGGTATGGTTTTTCTGGTGGTCTTTCTTGTCGACCATGTAGGCGGATCTGTCGAGGAGGGCTTCCCCCCAGTCCCACTCCCACTCCTCCGGCGCCGCCGCATCGTACGCGGCCGGCGGATGCAGCGAGGCTTCGTGGTAGCCTTTGAGCGACATGGTGGACCTGGATATCACACAGACGACACAGGGTATTTAGATTAGAGGGGAGAATAAGGAGGAGAATAAGGTCGTAGTCGGAGCCGGATTCAGGTACAAAGACGAGTCAGAGAGGAAACTGACTATTTGTGTTCCAAGTTCCTTGCAACTTAATTATAACTACTAGTACAAAGTTGATTTTGATAAAATATTACAAATGAGATATGCAGTGAGTTTTTGCCATGCAGTGTACTGTACAACACAATTTTGGCATGTTATGTACTCGTATATATAAGTGTTTGCCATGATGTATACTCCCTCCGTCCCAAAATAGGTGTCTCAAGCTTAGTACAACTTTGTACTAGAGTTAGTGCAAAGTTGAGAAACTTATTTGGGGACGGAGGGAGTGCAAAACAACAATTTACGATCTGCTACTATAAAAATGCCAAGAAAATCATGCCATCATAAAAATTGCCATGGGAAGTACTAGTAAAGAAGCAAAACTTAAGTTTTGCCGTATGGTTAATAATAAACATGATGGCAAATATATATGCTAAGGGCAAATGATACTATATCAGCTTCTCAAACTACTTCCACGAGAAAATCAAACGAATTCCACTCGAGCTAAATTACCCTCAGGAGGTCAACAAGATCATGATAACCAACGCATGCTGCCTTTTTTACAGGGGTATGTTGTCAAAGTGCGACACACCGAACCGCGTGTGTCACCCAGACGGATCCCACCCAGACATGTCGAAGCTTTCGCCCGTCCGGTACTGGAAGAACTGGTCGATTCCTGCACACACCAACCAATATCAGATCAAATTCAGTAGGTTCTCCAGTGGAGTTATACTGAGATGTGGTGTTTGCTCAACATACTTGGATTCTGACATGACGTTCTCGTAGAAGGACATCTGGCCCAGACCGCCCGACTATCTCGAGGTGTCGTTGCTGGACCCATACATCGTTGGACCACAGACATGCCCACGCTCTGCTGCGTCGAAGTGACGGTGCATCTCCGAGATCCTCTTGAGGTTGTGAGCTCTCACAGCCATGTTCTGCTGCTGTGACCCGTCTGATCTAGGCTTCTTGTCGGTCGGGGACTCCTCATCCCCCTCGGCTTCGGATTCGGCGTTGTTTGGTAGAGAAGAAGCTGCTTGCTTCCGCTTCGAGCGTGCACGTCTGTTCTGGAACCAGTTGTAGATGTTGGTCTCCGAGATCTGGCCATGCTGCGAGAGCTCCGCTGTGATGTCTTTTATCTTCTGCTTGCTTGGTGTTCCATTTCCTTGGTTGAAAATGCTCTCGAGGATCTGCAGCTGCATCTGGGTTGGTGTCCATCGCTGCCTCGCTGTGATCTTCTGGCCTCCATGAACCATTAGAGGATCACAGTACAGATTACCAAGACTCATACCTGAAAGAAATAAAGAGATTTTAGTTGACTACAAAGAAAAAAAAGTAACTGCTACAGTAGAATAGACCAAGAGAAAAACTGAGAATGTGCAGAGGCTCAGCAAACTGTATTTCAGGAGCCTATCTAAAACAGCTCTTGTCATAGGTCTGTGTTTCAGGAGTGTGTCATAAAAGCACAATCTTTCAGAGGTACTTGTGAATTATCATAAAAACATATCCTAGGATGGTTCAAAAATTATTGCAAGGCTTACAAGATGTTCACAGAAGTTGCTAACTAGAAGAAAAAAATACATGCTTGAGATTTGAAGGAATCTAGCTAGTTGACTTGAGAGTAAGGTATCAACTAATGTTTCAGTACGAAATGGCAAGTGTGCAAAACGTATGCAAGTCGTAAAATTATTGGAATGGCAGAATAACAATTAGTGTTGGATCCAGTAGAAAGATAATTAGGCAAGTAACATGCTATGAGATTCCTGCATGTCAAGCTTACATTCTGCAGAATATCAGAAGATTGCGGAACAAATGGTGGAGCACACGGGAACATGGCACAAATCATAAATGGTCCCACATGACAATCTTGTGTCCCTATTTCATTTATTTTGCAGCATTTAAGGTCCTCTCTGGATCTTATTGTAATGTTCCCACAGTCCCATTAATAAAAGTATAAAACTTAACACATACTGCCCACGCCCCATGGTGACTGATCATACAGTTTTGTACAGTGTGACATAAACAACAAGGCCATAGCCATAACCTAGAGCAAATAAATTCTCCCAATGTATGGTGTGAGCCCAACCTGTTGTCATCATAATAAGTTACAAAATTAATGATCTGGCACTTTCTTGTACTAATTTCTATGGTATTCAGCTTACTTTCACAGGAACATGGAAATAACAAATGCAAGGAGTATGGTTTCGCAACAAGCTGTGCAGTAAATTTTGCAGTCATTTCCGTAAGAGAATGCCAGTTAGTAAGACCTCAGAAAACTGAATTGATTTTGCACTGTGATTTAGAAAAATTAGGAGCCCCGCCCTCCCATGCATGCCCACTCGACAGCTAGTCTTATTTGGCACATCTGTTCTTTGCTCTTTTCATTCCTCTTTCTTGCAGTTATGTATTTATTGTAGGGTTTTGTAGTCGAGCTTTTGCTCTTGTTGGTCTGCGCCACCAATGGAGTGTTGCTTGCAAGTGGGTATAATTTAGGTAAGTAAGGGAGTGCTTTCAATGGCCTAATAACACAATCTCTCAAATGTCTCGTTACATTCATCAAGAGGATGCCAATTCCTATCTTGAGGAGTTATGAGTATGCTAAACAAAGAAGACACATTAACAGGACCCTGCATAATTAATGATAGAAGATGACACACCATGAACCATATCTTACCACCGGTCCCCTGCATTACCATCACAATCTCAACCAATCTATAACAAGTTAACAACACCAGATAATCTCAAAGGATGGTACATAGCCACAACTAAGCATCTACTAGCATGAATAGCAATGTGTGGGGCTTGCTCATGCATGAATTGGCAAACAGCTAAAAGCAGCATTCTCACCAAGAAATTGGTAAAATGGATAAACAGATCCTAATCATCATACTACCTATTCCATCAGCTCATAAGAAAGTACTACTAGTACTTTTACAGATCCGACAAAGCCTTGAACTTTACTCAGATAGAAACAACGCTGCGTCCTTGAAAGAAAAGGAGGGAGAGAGACAGAGAGAGAAAGCCTTTTACTCTCTTTACACAGAAAGAGTAAACCGAGCCGTCAAGTGTGTGTAGTTGGTGTACGGGTGTGCATACCTGCAATGGAATCCTGGTGCGCCGTGAGGGCGCGGTGCATCTCGACGAGCTGCTCGCAGATGGTGGCGTAGATGGAGATCTGCTTCCGGAGCACCTCCATCTGCTCGTCCGTCATCACCTTGACACAGTGGCGGAGCCAGGATTGGCTGATGCACCGGGCAAGAAACTAAGGGGGAAAAAACCAGTTTCAAGGCAACAAAAAGTCAAGCTATGTTGCATAACTCATAAGAAATCGTAACAAAAATGGTAGTTGAATCAGAATACGCTGGTAATGGAAAAGGAGTGGGGAAAACTCAACTTTGTTTGTTTTGCAATGTAACGGTATACAAGTACAGTGCAATGTTCAGTTTAGAAAACAGTTAGGAAAATCTTTTCTGAACAGCAACTCTGCATTACCTTGAAAATTGGATCCAAATCCAAAACAAATAGATGAAAAAGAACAGAATTGCACATGTAAATTGCCAGGCATCCAAGATTTGCATGGGAGAACCTACATGCGAGCGACTCGCTCGACCCGGTAAAGGTTTTTGATTCAGCTGGGGAGTGGGCGGTATCAACCATGAGCTATGATGTAAACAGATTACATGGGACCTGATTACAGGCCATGTGAAACAAACGCATGTGAAGCTTTCAAATTACGGTGTAATCAGTTAATGGGCCGAAAATCTCGAACCAAACATATCCATAGAACTGAAGATCATGTTTCAATCCAGGCAAATGGCTATATGTTTGAGGCCAGCAGCAACAGAAAAGAGATAAATGCATTTCTTTGTATTTCAGCATTTGATAAAGACATCAATCTTTGTTGTAATGCAAATATAAAGGCAATCACTGAAGAGACCACACTACACATACAAAATATAGCAGCAACCAGGAGCAACCATCAGTACTAGTGGTACTTTGCAAAATCAGGACAGAACACATCCAGATAAAAAATTATACTACTGCTCATGCTCGGAGGTGCCACTAGTACATAAAGATCAAAGCACATCCAGGCCAAAGCACAGCCACACTACCAGCAGCAGTGCAGCACCTAATAGCAAGTCTGAAAATTTTGCAAAGAATCGGAGAAGATCGTCACCTTACCGGACGAGCTCATGGCCACGGCCTGGGAGGTGGGGAGGGGAAACGGGGGGCCTTCCGCCGGAGTGGGGTCTCGGCCGGAGTAGGCAGTCGGCCGCCAGAGTGGGGCGTCGGCTGCTGCTGGAGACAGGGAGCGGGCGGCGCGATAGGGAGGAGCAGGGCGGTAGATGGGGACTACCCGCCGGCCATGCAGATTCGCCGGAGAGAGCCGCGGCGAGGAGCAGCGCAGAAGGGGACCGGCGGCGGCGGAGGCTTGCTGCGGAGGGCAGGGTGGGGTTCGCGTGTTTTTTCTTCGGCGTGGGGGTCGGGTGTGACCGCGGGCCTGGCAGTGGCATTAATATGATCATCAAACAATAGAGACATTTCACTATACCCCTTCGGCTTTAAGTTTTTTAGGGCAACCCCTTCGGGTTAAGTGGAAGTTGCGCGAAGCACCCTTGCCCAGCTTTTTCTCGTTGCGAAAGCGTGGTGAAAATAATGTAAGTTAAGTCATGCGCCTAAAACGAGTTTTTTTTTTCGACTTATGACTTATTTTCACAATAAACTCCTAAAAGCCTCAAATCGGGATTTGGGAATTGAGAGAGTATGAGATGTGAGCTACCTTTGTTGCTGCTACTAAGCGGAATGCCAAAGGGCGCAGGGCGCTGGGGTTATTCCTCCTCGAGACCTGACTAGAGGGACGTCGAACGAGGTCGACGCCTCGCTGTAAGCAGTGGCTCACA